AGCGCTTGAAGCATTTTTCATCATGTACTGAGAGATGCTGCACAAATAGCTTCAGCCTTCCTGAGCTGCATCTATAAAACAAGGCTTAAGAATCCTTTCCTCCAAGGATCAAGGGCAGTGCATGGCAAAGGCTGGCCACAGTTTGGAGGCTCTGTACTTGTTCTTCCCCATCTACAGGTGTGCAGAGGTACCTGTATCAACTCTTATAATTGCTTAACTCCTATACAGCTGTGTAACCCTTAGCAATCCTAGAGACTGTTATTGTTGACATTTATATTGTACAGATGATGGAACTGAGACCAAGAGAGATTGGTGGACTTGCCTGAGGTCATATGGTCTGCTGCCAGTTGACCTTCATGGGATCCCACCCTTCCACACAGTGAAGCAACTCTCAATACTATGGCAGGAACCCTTCAGCACCCCCACCAGGCAATTGTCTACCACAATCCTAAATTTCAAAGCCAAATGAAGCCCATGATGGCCTTCCACTCCTCTGTGGAACATCTGTTTGGTTCCCAGGACAAAAGGTGAAGGCGAGAACTGAGTTTCCTCTAAAGAAATGGGAGGGTCCAACTTCTTCCACTAGGACCTCAGGAAATGACTTCAGCAGCCCCGCTTGGCCAGTTTTCTGGTGTTAATTGTTTTCTCACACCCAAGAATGCCTAGTCCCCACCTCCTGAGCCATAGCCACCTCATGAGCCCTATTCTTCCTGACTATAATTAGGAATGTCACCCGGGTGTTGCTGTGGAAAGCAACACCAAGAGCCCTTCACACACCTGCCCTGGGGAGCAGTGGCAGCTCAGCCCTGAGCTCAGCTCAGAACCAGCTGCTGCCAGCTTGCCGGCAGGGACAACAGGCTCACAGAAGGTGCGGGTGTCGTTGCACTGCATAATAAAGGCAGCTGGAGCTGGGGATCACACTTCCAGGGCCAATCTCCGGCTGCTAGAGAGAAAGGATCCTTAGGGACCACCGCCTGCAACCAGCCACCTTACTTTTTGGAAGAGGAAACTGAGGCCCAGAGAGGGGAAATGTCTGGTCCAGAATCACACAGGACCCACTGGCTTGAGAACCCAGGCTGTCCGCTATCCCAGCCCATGTTCCCCACTCTCCAACCCCACACCAACACTTAGGATACTAGTTTTTAATCAGGGTGATTTTGCCATCCAAGGGGCACTTGGCAATGTCAGGAGACACTTTTGGTTGTCTCAACTGGAGAGGAGGGTGGGGTAGAAGGCAAGGATGCAGCTAAAGCTCCTACAGTGCACAAGACTGTCCCTACAGCAAAACTTACTTGATCCAAAATGTCCATAGTGCCCAGATTGAGAAACCCTGGTTTAGGAGCACTACCTCCAGGAAGGCATCCCTGCTTTCTCCTGCTGAGAATCATCTCTCCAGAGAAAATTATTAACACCAGAAAACTGGCCAACTCTGGCTGCTGAACCCCAGCAGAACTTTAGCAATTCCTCTGATACTGAGAAGAGCTCACTTTGTATTAGAGTTAGAAGGTCATATAATTCAATGTCAAGTTTGTGGATTCTGGAGTCTAAAGCCCTGAGTTCAAATCCTGGCTACCCATTTCCTAGCTGTGTGACTTTGGGCAAGTTACTTAAATAGTCAAAGCCTCAATTGCTTTATCTGTAAAAATGGGAGTGAGGATGGTAATATTCTTGCTTCATAGAATTGTTGTTAACACATATTAGTTAATCCGTAGAAAGCACTTAACAATTACATATGAATTAATCTTGCCCCTAACTAGACCATGGTCTCTGTCAAGTAATGACTCAATAGTCTCATTCCCCTGCCACTTTACCTAACACATGACACTACAAATTATAGGGTTTTTTTAAAAAGAATGTAGGCAGATGAGAAATGTCAAGAGAAATGTTACTTAAGCACCCTAGATCATGGTCATACCCATAACAGGTGAGCTCCTTCATGTACAGCCTTGCTCAGTGCCTTTAAGAAGCTGCCTTCACACACACACACACACACACACACACACACACACACACACCAAAGACACATCCTGGTGTAACTCCCACCTTGTGTGACCACTGGGAAACAAACACTCTTAGGTAGAACCTACAGCCAGGTTTCTCAACATCATCACTATTGACATTTTGGGCTAGTTAATTCTATGCTGTGGGGTGCTTTCCTGTGCATTCTAAGATGTTTAGTAGAATCCCTGGCCTCTGCCTATTAAATTCCATTAGCATCCAAAATAAACCCCATTGGGACAACAAAAAATATCTCCAAACATTGCGAAAAGTCCCCGAAGGGGCAAAACTCACCCCATCTAAGAGCTAGCAGTCTTGCTTAGCCAGAGTGGCTCAATTCGTTGAGTATCATCCTGTGTACTGAAAGGTTGCCGGTTCCATTCCCGATCAGGGCACATACCTGAGTTGCGGGTTCAATGCCCAGTCAGGGCGCCTACAGAAGGCAACTGATCAATGTTTCTCTCATATCTCTCTCTCTCTCTCTCTCTCTCTCTCTCTCTCTCTCTCTCTCTCTCTCTCTCGTCCTCATGTGAGGATTTAAAAAAAAATAGAAAAATAACTACTGGTCTTAGCCATAAATTCTCAGGTAGAGCTATATCACCCTCAATGAGGCAAAAATTGGTTCTTAGGGTACAAAAAAAAAATCTTATCCTTTTTATGTGTAAAGCATAGATATACATATAATACACAAACAGATATGCAGTATACTGTGGTAATAAAATGTATAGATGGAGGCAATTAAGGAGGAAAATAAAACACTCTAAAAATGTTCCTGGAATAATAATGAAAAAAGATTGAGAAACACTGCTCTAGGCAATTCATCTTTTATAAGGTGTCGTCAATTGAATAAAAGTATATCTTACTAAATACCTAGTAATAATAATATCTTCCAAGCTCTGTGCTAAGTCCTGTGCTCATTCACTCAGGTAAGCCATTGCTTCTGTAACCAACTTACAAGTGAAAGCTCTGAGGCCTTGACAGCCCTGAAAAGACAGAGCCAGGACTCTAAGGCAAGTCCATGTGACTACAAAGAGCTCCTGCGACCTACTTAGTCATGGAGCCCTTCCCACTTGTTCACTTATATCCAGACTTTCCTTGAGACACACTGTGGTTTTCAGGACTTTGAGATGATGACAATGGCTGATAATTATGGACTGACTTCTCTCAGCTAGGTACCTGTGTTAACTCATGTCCTACTCCTAGCAACCCTATAAGGTAGATTCTGTTACTGTTGACTTTCTACAGATGAGGGAACTAAGACCCAGAGAGGCTCGGTCACTTGCCCAAGGTTACACCACCAACAGGCAGAGCTGGGACTTTAATCCTGGCAGTGTGGATCCAGAGCCCACCACATGGCCACCACCCTGCCATCCCCACTCCTTCTACACAGGCACCCAAGGATTCAGGGGACTTTGGAATTTCTCAAAATAATGTCACCTCATTGTAGCTCCTGTCTGCCAATGGTGGGAGGGTCCCTGCCCGCTCTGTCCATCCACACCCTAGTCAGGAAAGCAGGGAAGGGCAGAAGGTGGTAAGGAAATGTAGAAAGGCAGGCTGGACAGATGGGAGGGAAAAGGAAGGAGAATAAATGAGGGGGACAAAGGGGAACAGGGAAGCCTGGAATGAAGGAACGAGAAAATACAAGAAAGGAAGCTGGGACTGAGAGCAGGAGTTCAGATACTGGGGAAGAAAGGGGAGGAGGGAGCAGCAAGGCTGAGCTATTTTTAAGAACCTAAGTGTTGCTGATTTGCATGTTTAGCATCTCTTTGCATATTGAGGTCAGAAGGTCCCAACTCCTCATGTGAGAAGGAATAGGAATTCATTAGTGCAGCTTTCTAGAAGACTCTTCAAGTACACTTGCTGGGCTCTTCCCTAATGAAGGAAAAGGGAGTAGAGGGGAAGATCTGATCCATCATCCTGCAAGGGTGTCACATTGCTAAGGGAGGGAATCATCGGATCCTGAGTGAGTGCCAGCAGGACACCCACACTGGTCCCACTCATGGCATCTCCCTTGGCAGGTGGTATGTCAGATTCCCCAACCACAAAAGGAAGGGAACTGGGCAGGGAGCTCTCAAAGAAGCCGGATTGAGTTAGGTAATCACTCCATGAATTAATTCATAGAAAGAGCTCAAACCTCAGAAGAGGATAGAGTCCAAGGAAGCTGAAGGAAAATGATTGACAAGGCATCTCAGATGCTGTACTCTTTGTCCTGAATCTTTGGGCGCAAAAAAGGGAAGGAAAGAGGGAAGGAAAGGAGGGAGAGAAGGAGACCGAGAGAAAGAGAAGGAAGGAGGAAGGAATTTTGGCTTCCAAACTAACTTACATGTTTGTCACTTGCATTATCCTCAAGCTGCCCTATGAAGTAGATACACAAAGAATCCCAATTTGTAGATTGTAAAACAGGCTTGGCTTGGCTGTTACTTGCTCACAGTATTAGGACAGGCCTGTGATTTGAACCCAGAACTATTACACTATACTGACCCAAAAAACACACAAGGACGAGTAATCAAGGGGAGTTTGGGCACATGAGATAGAACCAGAATAAGAAAAGTCTCTCGGGCCCTAGCTGGTTTGGCTCAGTGGATAGAGTGTTGGCCTGCGGACTGAAGGGTCCCAGGTTCGATCCCAGTCAAAGGCACATGCCTGAGTTGCTGGCTCGATCCCCAGTAGGGGGCATGCAGGAGGCAGCTGATCGATGGTTCTCTCTCATCACTGATGTTTCTATCCCTCTCTCCCTCTCCTTTCCTCTCTGAAATCAATAAAAACATTTTTAAAAAAATAAAAAAAAAGAGAGAAGTCTCTCGTGACCTACATTGTCTCTCCCTCTCTCTTTCCATTCTCTCCCCCTATGTATCTTTTCTGTTAGCTCAGAGCAAACCAGTTTGGGAAGTCACTTAGGGCTCCCCTGTGCCCCCCAAACCTTTGGCTTACATGCCAATTTGCTTTGTCACAATAAGAACCCTGACCCCAACTCGGTATTTTAAGTCCCATCACCAACTAACCTATTTAGTTTCAGTGTCACTAAGTTTCAGTGCTCCACAGACAAGATGCAGTGCAGACAGCCCAGCCTCTGGACTGCTCCCCTTAGAAGGCCCCTGAGATGTCCATGCCTGGTCCACTTAGGTGTGGCCTGGGGAAACAAGAGCAGGGAGTACAAACAGAAAAATTAGATGCCAGGGCTTACCAGGATGAGTAGAAGGGATTGCAATTGGCTTCTCCAGGGGGTCACTCTCAAAGATGGTGGCCTCTGCTCAGGGCAGTCTTTGCTAAAAGGCGATTACAGTGTCCACACTCAAGCTGAGCTGAAAAAGATAATAGGCAGAAAGGACAAAAGAAGTTTGACAGAAAGACTAGGTGACAGCCCACAAGGGAAAACGGGAAGAACACTCTAGAGCAGCGATGGCGAACCTATGACACACGTGTCAGAGGTGACACACGAACTCATTTTTTTGGTTGATTTTTCTTTGTTAAATGCCATTTAAATATATAAAATAAATATCAAAAATATAAGTCTTTGTTTTACTATGGTTGCAAATATCAAAAAATTTCTATATGTGACACGGCACCAGAGTTAAGTTAGGGTTTTTCAAAATGCTGGCATGCCAAGCTCAAAAGGTTCGCCATCACTGCTCTAGAGCCCTCACCAGAAAATATCTCCTCTGTCTGCCCACCTAGTGCCTGGAGATCTGCCATTAAAGATCCCTGTGGAACCTCAGACAAGTCATGCACCCTCCATCTGCAGGAAAAACATAAAAGGCAGCCCTAGACACTTTACTCTGATGAGTGGCTAGAAAGGGTTATTAGGTGATTGTGGGCATGCACATGAATGTTGGCAGTAACTGCTGGTTGCCTCCCCAGTATCCATTCTCCCCTTCTCCTATAAACAGATGTCTTATCTGGGCACATGGCCACCCAGCTAAAAACCAGCTTGCCCAATCTTCCTTGCAGCTAGCTGTGGATTGAGGCCAACACAATGAGAACAGAAGCAATAGTCAGGTCCTTGAAGGGAAAATGCAAGCTTTGCCTTCTCTCCACTTCTGCTTACTGGCAGGGTTCATGTCGGAGGGGAGCTGAATCAGCCATCAAAGCCTTAAGAACGAATATGCATTTTGAGGATGGCAGAGCAACAAGACAGAAAGTGCCAGGTCCCCAGGGTTGTAAGACCCTCCTATCAGCACTGATGGCTGGTGCTCGCATTGTTAGATGGGTGAGATAAAAATTCCTTGCCAGCCAGTATTATTAGCAAGGGAAGACCTGGGCCAGGTGACAGGTCTGACCCCAGCTCAGAGCCCCATGCTCAAAAGTATCTGCTACCTCTGTTAGGGAGATTTATTTTCTGATCCCCAAATCTGGACCCATTGTTTAAGCAAGCATTTGAAGGCCTCTTCGGGGAACAAGAAGCATTCTAGGAGGTACAGTCTGCATGATAAAATGTCAGTATTTATGGAATGTTTCAAACAAGGACAAGAACACAGGGAATCCTAGATGCTGAGTTACACTCAAAAAACCAGGTTATGCAATAATTTTTTTAGGAGATGCCTGTACTCATAATCCCAACCCTTCCCTTTGTCTTTCGCCCCACCATCTAACACATTTAAGGTACTTATCTGCACCATGAAGGTATTAAGGTTTACAACCTCCAGTGTAAATGAATCAAAGTAGAAAGTGTCCCCAAAGGAGAGGCTAAGATACAAGAACTTCAATGTAGACCTGACCATGAATTATCCAGGTCAGTCTACAATGACAGATTTGCCAACCATCTCCATGCCGCCCACCCCCCCCCCCCCCCCCCCCCGCCAAAGACTAAATATTTAAAGCCCCAAGGAAAGAATGTCTCTTTGGCTGGGGTCAGATTTAGGCACACCCCTGGCTTTTCCTAAGAGCAGAGAAGGGGGGAAACTGGACCTCCTTAGTTTCCCTGGGAAAGAAAGTGAGCCCTGGGAATCAATAGCCCATCAAAACCCACACACATGGTGATGGAGGGTTTCTGTGCCACGAAGATTGGGGGCATGGTCTTGGGAAAAGCCGTGGGTGCCGAGTGGCCAGGGGATGACAAGAAGCCCTCTATATCCACCTCACCCCCTCAAGAAATAAAAGTGAAATCCAGTAAAACGAGAGAAGAAAAATGAAACCCCGAGAGAAGCCCTGGAGCCAAGCAAATGCCTTTCCCACAGAGATATGGTCACCAGAGGCCTAACCTGGTTCTCTAGCAATGCCTGCGAGTCAGTGAATGGGAGGGGCTGACATTGTTAGGACACAGGTCACGGGAGAACATCCTCAGGGTATGACCTCTAGAGGAAAGCCTTGAAAGAGGGGCTTGTGGTAAATCACCACATGTCAAAGTCAAGGCAGGGAAAGGTCTGTTAAGGAAACAGAACTGGGCACAGTGGTCTGTGTCAGCTATTTTCCCAAACTCTACACTCTCTGGCAAGATTCCACAGTGCCCCATCGTCCACCTGGACCTCGTAGGATACATCAAGAAGTGTCGTTTATCTTACTACACACCCGAATACCACTCAGTTGTTCCTGCAGACAGAGGGACCATGTTTCCTATCAGTACCATCTGGCCACCTGCTATGCTTCTCAGTAATGCCTCCTAAAAATACCCTTCTCCAGTATCCCCTGTGACTTTAACAGAATAAAGAGAAAAAGCAGAGTTAATCTCAGATTGGCTTTCCATCGAGGGAGACTTTTGTAATGTGAGATAGGGTGGGAAAGCAGAAGCTTTGGAGACAGACAGATTTGGATTAGAATAAAAATAAGAATTTTCATCATTATAGCTAAAATGTATTATTAGCATATGCTGGCCACTGTTATAGTTACTCTGTATGGACTATCACATTTAATATTCTCAGTAACATTCTGTGTTAAGGATCAGTATGATCTCCATTTTGCAGATAAGGAGACTGACACATGAGTAATTTCAGCAAGAAAATGGCAGATCTGGTCTGATTCCAGGATCAAACTTGCAACCATTCTGCAAAATCGCCTCTGAGTGAATGTTAGGGCCTTCCCCATCTCTCAAATTCTCTGTTCAGACAGACTCAAGCATGAGGCAACTGGACAGGTGGGGAAAGGAAGAAAGGTGAAACTTGAGAAGATGAAGGGATGGGAAACTGACAGCCTATTTGTCCTGAGGACAGTCAGACGACATGCAGCATGTGGTCAGGGGGCAGTCTGGGCAGCCACTGGTACTTGTGAAGACCCTACTTGTGAAGGCAGCAGACACTTCTCCAAACCACACAGCTCTCAAGCATGAGGGAGGCAAGGTGTCAGGGGAATCAGGAAAGACTCCAACCCCAGTATACAAAGAAGGAGAGAAGGAGGAAGGAAGGGAGGAAGGAAGGAAGGAAGGAAGGAAGGAAGGAAGGAAGGAAGGAAGGAAGGAAGGAAGAAAGGAAGGTTGGTTAATAGGTGATAGATATGCTAGATATTGATTGGTAGATAAATAATAATTAATGGATAATTAATAAGGCATGATAGATAATAGATGACATATATAAATACTAATTAAATTATAGCTAGATAGATAATTAATAAATAAGAAATAGATAGATGATCGATAAATGATAGATAGATAGATAGATAGATAGATAGATAGATAGATAGATAGATAGATATTGGATCAACATGCTATATTAGATACTTAACCAGAGAGACACATCCATCTATGAGGCATGAGGAGGTGGACACATGGGTGACATGGGCTGATATAGTATTACTAGGTACCAGACCCCTGGCAGAGTGTGGGCTGAGGCTGTTGATATACCTGCCTTGGTCAGGGTGACTTCTGAAACTTGGTCTGAGCCTAATCTCCTCACAGAAATATGGTGACTCCAGTCAGGAGGGCTTAGCTAGTGTGAGAATCTACTTTCCTGCCCCTTATCACTTCTGTGTTCAGTGTGTGGCTCTGGTCACCTCTCTGGTCAGACAGGTCATCATTGCTGTCATCATTCACATTTACTGAGCATTTACTCTGTGCATCCTTCAAAATGTCTCACTTCTGTTTTGCATTAAACTATCACAATAGGCATATGCCATTTTAGGTTCTCGGGCTGCCTTGTTCCACTGTCCATCTCTCTCCCTACCACAGCATCCTTGGAGGGTACATGGTTCAGAAAGGGAAGGCAAAAAAATGGCCCAACCTCCTTCAGCCTTTAAAAAAGTGAGAAATTAACTTTCATTGTGTTGAGTCACTGCAGATTAAGGATTAATTTGATATCTCAGCTTTGCCTGACTAATACACTACTTATAGCCTCATAGGTTTGTTATGAGAATTGAATTTATGCATGTAAAGGATTTGTAATCTTTTTTTAGAAGATCTCATTGGAATATGTTATGAATAAAAGTCAGTTAGTTGCTTATGGGTGGGTTTTGAAGATTAACGTGTGGGTTAAATGACTGCCTGGCACATGGCTGTCAGTGAGCTTTTAGTAAATGTGAATTTCTTTGCTATCAATTTGTACCACTACCATTGCTACTACTATTACTATTAAATAAGGCAGACACAGCCTTTCTACTCTTAAGGCAATAATGCTGGTTGGAAAGAAAAATTCCATCTACCATGGAACCAACCTCCTGGGAGCTGCTGAACTCTGAGAGTGAGCTGTGTGGGTCTTTGAGTGAATACAAATGTTAATAAACAAGTGCAAACACTAACAAAGGGTGTGATTTAAACACTTCCAGAAGCATAAGGAGCATCAGAGAGGTATAACTTCAATCAGTGGATCCCGGCCTTCTTGTTTCTCCTTTCTTCATCATTCTGGGACCAAATGATCACTTGGATATAAATCTGAATTTATTGCTCAGTGCATTGACTGAAAGACCCTCCTTCTATCCAATGAGTTGGATACCATCTTCTTTTTTTCTTGACTTAACAACTGTAGCAATGGACCAGTGCGGCCAAAGTGCACGTTGAAATTTCCTTCCATAGTCTTACAGACTCAAGGGATCTGTAATCTTGCCTGATGTGTAGCGAGCTATTGTTAATATCATTCTTGGATGACAGAATACTGGCACTGATCCCCTAAGGATGTGTCTTACAAGTGTTGACCTTACTGCCCCAGCATAAACATCCAGTCTGCTCCTGTTCATAACAGCACAGAGCTGGGGCTGAAAGTACTCCTGTTTGCAAAGGGCTTTGTTGGTTTTTTAAAAAATTATACAATAACCTCCAGCTCTCAGAGTTGGAAAAGATCTTAAAGGTCATCTTGCCTATCCCTCACCTGAGGTTTAACTCGGCTTTCCAATTTTTCTACTGTGGGGTCCTTTAGCCTCATCTGAACCCCCAGAGGGCCACTGGACAGATCTCACTGCCAGGAAGTTTTTCCTTATGCTTGCCTGATTCTAAATCCAGTAGCCCCGGCCCTGGCCAGTATACCCACCCAGCCCATCCAAAGGTGCAATTACCATTCGTGCAACTCATTCAGCAGTTATTGAGCCTTACTTTGTGCCTCTCTGAGCTTCAAAGCCTCTATAAAATCAGAGTAATAATATCACCTAATTTGCTGAGTTGTTGGGAGTATTAAATAAGGCAATATATACAGGGCGTGTATCACAGAGCCTGACACATAGCAAGTGGTCAATAGACATTAGTTTTAATTGTCACTGTGTGGTTGCAACATATTAGGAAAAAATAGAAGTTTACAAGTTTGATAAGCACTGTGAAATAGAAAGGATGGGGTGCCACAGAAACACTGAGTGAATTTGAATTGGGTTTCATTATTCCATATGAAG